AGAGGACAGTTCTTAAAGTGATGGAGAGACAGCTTCCTGGGGCTTCCATTTGTGGTAGAGACTCTAGGTCAGTTGTTCCCAAAGTGTGGGTCACAAGCCCTTTGGGGGTCAAATGACCCTTTCAAAAGAGTCACATATCAGACACCCTGCAAGTCAGACATTTACATTATGATTCATAACAACAGCAAAATTGCAGTTATGAAGTAACAATGGAATAATTATATGGTTATATATAAGGATCTATATTAAAGTGTCACAGCAATAGGAAGATTGAGAACTACTTCTCTAGATAGTATACTGTGGCACCAGTGACAGATGGACAGGTACAGATTAAACCAGAACTGATCCATGAGACAGCACCTGCCATTATCATGTGTTCTATACTCTTATCTTCTCTTTTTTTGGTAGTTAGTATGGACCTTGGGCCTTGTGCATCCTGGGAAAGTGTTCTACAACTGAGCAACACTTTCAGCCCTTCTATTTATTTGATTTGATTTGTTTTCATTATTCTGGAAATGCATATTTGAAAAGAAAAGAAAATCACAGCACTGGTTGGGACCAGCAGGGGTTAGCATAGAATGCTGTGGAAATACAAAGGAGGCACATTCATTTACAGCTAGAACATAGAAGAAGCTGTCCTCAATAGAGTGGAGATTGTCTCCAAGCTAATTCAAAAGAGAAGGAGCCACTCTGCTGTATGCAACCTTGAATGGGAGGGTGAGACTGTGCTGAGACCGTTTGATCTGGCATGTGTGCTCTATTGGGAAAAAAAAAAAATGTATTTTGGTGACTGACCTAGAAATGGAAGCACTCTCTTCCAGGCTAGCCTCGGGCTAGCAGCTCCACAGCTGGCTTGCTGTTCCTTAGAAAATAACACCACAGAGGTGATGCTTCCACAGCCATTTCTGAGGAAACTGTTGCTTTTCTCCTGTATTCATTCTATGGAGGAGACAAAGGAAAGCCTAACTATGCTTGAATGGGTATGTTTTGTCCTAGTATTAAATTGTTGTATATGGAACAAGAATCAGTATAACTCTTTACTTCAAGGTGACTCAGAACAAAGGTGAAAAGGGAAAAGAGTAGCTCTGTGCCTGTCTGACCCACAGTCCTCAGCACCTGTGATCTCCAAAAACCTGGCTTCCCTACCGTGCGTGCGTGCGTGCGTGCGTGCGTGCGTGTGTGTGTGTGTGTGTGTGTGTGTGTGTGTGTGTGAGCCTAAGGTCAATGACCCTCCATAGATCTTCATACCTTTTGACACAGGGTCTTTCTCTGAACCTGGAGTTCATTGATTCAATTTGTCTGGCTGGACAATAGCTGCAGGTACCCACCTTGTCTTTGCTGTCCTGCAAACCCAGTACCCGGGGTAGAGATGTGTGCTGCTGTGCCTGGTTCCCTTGTGGGTGCCTGGGTCCATTGTGCAGCTGTGCCTGGTTGCCTTTGTGTGGGTGACTGGATTCGAACTCAGACCCTTGAGTCCATGCTTCAGGCTCCTAGCTTTCCCAGAATCCCTTCTTTATCCTTTCTTGGATAGACTTTTTCTATACTTTTTTCTTTAACACTAGGATTTTGGTCATTTTGTTCCTCTAGATTTTAGTCTGTTCACCAACTTTTATTACTATTAAATATCTCAGCAGGAAATGAAAACATTTTTTGCTTTTTTTTTCAGAAATGACTCAGTGGTTTCAATCTGACATCTCTATGTTTTATGAAAAATCTTACTTAACTCTTTTGTCTCCATTGAGAAGATTATTTTCATTTCACAGAAATTTGGTTTTTAGTTTTCATTGGACTTACAAGTAAGATTTAAATTCAAATTATGTCGATATTTGTATTCTTAATTACTCTTAAGAGTGGAAATAGATTAAAATTTGGTAAGAGTGTGGAAATTTCACTTCAGTATCCCCTATGATAGTAAAAATCTGCTTTTGTTATCCTGACTCCAGATTTTTAGAAAGTTAAAAGAATAACTCTATGTGGAACAGAGAAGAACAGATCAATGTTTAACTCATGGGAAATGATTTTCTAAAAACATTATGTAATCCAAGCACAATCACAGCACTTGTGATATAGGAGCAGGAGGATCATGAGTTCAAGGGCATCTGTGGCTATATAATGAATTCAAGTCCAGCCTGAGCTACCCTAGAGTGTCTCAAAAAGAAAACTATGGGCTGGGGAGATGGCTTCAGACCCTGCCTCACATGCAACAGGACCTGAGTTTAAATCAACACACCTGTACACATGGTGCTCCCACAGTGAGAATGGAGGCAGAATTATGCAAGCCTGTGAGCCCACTAGCCTGACAAATGAGATGACCAAAGAACAGACCTTGTCTCTAACAAGGGAGAGAAGATGAGGACCAGCACCTGAGATTGCACACACACACACACACACACACACACACACACACACACACACGCATGCACACACACACATGCACACACTCATACATATATACACATACATGCACACACATATACACAAATCATATACACTCTTACACACTCATACATAGACATACATGCACACACTCTGGTACATTCACATACCACACTCACACATACATGCACACACATTCATACCAAATACACACACACACACACACACACACACACACACACACACACACACATATATATATAATTTTAGAAAACAAAAAAAAATTGTTTTCAAATTTCAGTGGTAGAGATTTGTGACTCAGGTGCTAGGTGGTAGAAATGGGACAGAGGACATTATATCCTGATATATGGGTCTCATTAGCTGTAAAACGTGAGCCTCCTCCCTAAAAGAATAGGATTGTTTGGGTATGTATGGGGCTGTTCTTATTAATTTGTTCATTTTCATGATGTGGCTTCTTTGAAAACTGCCTCAATCCTAACTGTGCCTCTGGTTTTTAATGATCTTGAAGTCGGCTGACTCCTAACCATTCCCTGAAGGTCTTCCTTAATCTGGATGATAACCAGCTTTGACATCCTCCAGTGATGTAAAAGGCATCTCATGCTGAGCAGGGTACTCCCTGGTCCTTTGTGGTCCTTCCTGAGCATCAGAGTTTGACAGCTCATCAGCCTCCCTGCTCCAGTGTGAGAATGCCTTTGCCCAGGCCTAAGTCAGGGCTGTTCATTGTTCCATTTGTAGACTCTCACTTAGCCTAGCCTGCCATCTCAAGGTAGCATCAGTCCTATGTCAGCTCTATCAAAAGCTGTTCTTTCAGCTTAAAAGTGAATTTTAAAGTGAGTGTAGGGGTGTCATTTTATTTTCTACATTCACAGAGGACACTAAGAGAATGAAGCCACAAAAATTTCATATACCCTTAATTTTTAAAAAGCAGTTATTTTATCAATTTCAAACCAAGAACTTGCCAGTGCCTTCTGTGTGAAATTTAACAGGGATGATTTTCACCTCTGTTCTCTGGCCTCGGGCCAGCACCACACTGTAGAGTAGCTCTCTTCTGCCCCAGCTGCTGCTCTTTAATTAGACATTGGGGCACTCTTGTAACAAATTATTCACTCAAAGAAGATTCTGTGCTTCAGAAGGAGTTAAAAACCTCCTGTATAGTGTCTCAGACTATGTTGGCAGAAGAACCACATAGACTTCCATGGGGATAAAGGGACTCAGAATATGTCTAGACTTGGATGATCAAGATCGAGAGCAGAGGAGACCTGAGTAAGGTCTGATTCCAGGGGTAATGCTGCAAAGGGTGCCAGAGAGGAGATGAAGGAAAAAGAGATATGAGGGAGAATGTTGATATAATGGGTACCAAGCAATGATGGAAACAGGGATGTGTTCCTTGGTAGCACAGAGGTGAGGATTGATTAAACATAGAAAAAGTAAACATACTGCAGGATTAAGAATGCATAAACCTAGAAGATAGATCATTTCAGAGACTAAAAGCAATAGTGTTTAGAGAACTGCATTCATTTGGACCAGAAAGTCAGAACCAGTGGGCTTCCATCAAGCTTGTTTGCACAAAAGTGGCCAACCCTTGGAGAGCGCTATCAGCCACTTACAAGGACCATCTTTGCCCAGCCCAAAGGGACACTCAGAGAATTCTAATGTAGATTAGTTGGATGGTGTCAAATGGACCCATGTGTTTGTCTATGGGAGCCCGTCTGTCTTTTAGTTCTTTAGAGGAGAGACATTGCTGTAGATGTGGTTGACAGTCACTGAAGCTAGCTGTAGGTCTCTCCCTGAAGGCAATAATGCAGCATGACAGTATTCCTCAGACCTCCATGACTCTGACAGCTAGCTGTGTCACTCACATCAACAGAATGCTGTGACTGCTGTGTCTGCCTGTGACCTTGACTGTTCTAACTAGGAAGTTAGGAGTCCCCGTTTGTGGGTGCTGAGTCCCAGTAGTACTGTTCCCCTCTGTCATTGTGGAAAATAAATGTTCAGATACTTCTGGGGATGAAGAGTTGAAAGTGGTAATTCCTGGTCTCCCTTCCCAATCACCAAGTGTTAGCTCCACATATTTGCAGTGTCCAAGTGACAATGCCAGGTGTGGCCAGGTGTTGTTTTTTCAGTCATGATGACTGTCCCTAAAACCTTTTACATGTTGGACTAGTACTCTACCACTAAGTCATGTTCCCAACCCAAAATGCAATGTTTTAAGAATGGAAAGAAAGTCTCTACAGCTTCTATTTTCTGAGGTTTTCTTGTCCCCTCATCTAGGCTGGCCTCTACTTCTGAGTGAATCTGCCCTTGTCTAGTACTTTTGATAGAAAGAAAATTGAATTGTACAACATTTCCATTTCATTTACTTGCTGCTTCCAGTGAAAATAAGTAACAAAGAGGACGTAACAAGGAACGTTTTAAAAAACAAATGTTAACTAGAATTAGATCTTCAAAACATTTCTATTGTCTATCTATGGTTTTGTCTGTCTGGTTTCAGGCATTCTGTAACATTGATCTAGGCATTGAACTTTATGTAGTTAGAACAAAAAAAAAACTAGCATTATTCATCACAAATATATCTTTTAAAATTATCTTTTTTTTTCTTACAGGGACGTCATGTCAAAACAGGACAGCTTGCAGCCATTAAGGTTATGGATGTCACAGGGGTAAGGCACTTTTATCACATCATCTCATTAGCTATATATTTGTAAGCAAGAAGTGACTGACAGAAAAAAAATATTTGCTAGAAAAGCGATCTTCCTAAATATTCCAGATCCTTTCCCATTTGTGATTCCCATGAAGAAATACGAATCTTTAGAAGCTGAGTGAGCAGGCCAATAAATCACTATGATTAAATCCAATACTACACACTGCCTTAAGCTGTTAGACTGAAGATTGTAGAATGGAAATCAGATTTAAAGGATTCATAGGATATCAAAAACATGTTAATTATTTTATATTGTCCTGGGAATTTTTCTAAGATGTTTGTCTTTTTATGTTGTACATAAAAGCTAAAAGACTAAAGTCTCCATTTGACCAGAAGTAAAACACTGAATGTAAACAGTCGCCAAATGAATGAGTCACACAAAGATATCAATAATGAAGAAACAGATTTTTAAAAAGAAAAAAGGATAGCTTGTCTGCGCATTAGCCATGAAGCCCCCATCAGACAGAGTCTGTAATCTCTGGCAAGTATTTGTTGTAAGGCTCTCCAGAGAACCCGCCACGATATCCATAAATATCACATTGTATTAATTATTTATTTGTTCATCCATTCTTTATTATTGATCTAGATCTAAATTTCTCTCTAAATTAGATTTTACAGTTTAATTAATAAAAGGAGAATCTTGTTCCTGTATTATTTTAGCAGTAGAGTGACACTCTAAAATGTTTATTACTAATTGTGTGGCTTTGTGTTACTTTTTACTGTCTTTGGTTCAATCTTTTAATTTCAGTGTTGCAAACTAATTCAAATATTTGACCTCAATGAGTTGATTAAGCCACCTGACATTGACTAAGACATACACGTGGACTGTTTAAATTAGTGTTATGCTTGGCCACTTGAAAAAGTGTTAGACGTGGTGGAAGGTGTCTTTTTTCTATCATGTTAAAAAGAATCTAGAGGTTGACAATTGCAGTGGTTAGTATTAATTGTGAGACTGATAAAAAATCCAGACTCTCTGGAGAGACAGACCTATGAGCATGCCTGTGGGCGTTGTCTTGATGTATAAGCTGAGATGAGAGGACCTGCCCGGTGTGGGCAGCATCAATCCTCTGGCTTGAATCCTGGATTGTGTAATAGAGACAGAGAATTGAGCAGCAGCATGCATTCATCACTTTCTGATCCTGATTGTGGACATCATGTGACCAGCTGCTCCAGACTCCTGCCACCTTGAACCGTGACCTCAACAAAAACTGGCTTCCCTAATTTGCTTTTATCAGAGTATTTATGACAGCAGCTAGGAGAGAATGAAGACAATAGTATTGAATGTTTTGCTGAAGTGTAGTGAAGCAGAGGATGTTTTCAGCCCTCTGCTTTATCACTTTAACTCACAGCCTCCCTGCCTATGAGAGTCATTTTGTAGTTTGGTATAACCATGGATTTTATCCATCACTAAAGAATAAGGTAGCAGAAGAAGAATACAGAGAAGTTCCTTCCAATGAAATTTCTTCTTCTTGAATATCTAGCCATGTGTGTAGTTAAAAATACAGATTCTATGGAAAGAGGTCCATGATCCCTTACCCCTGCCTAGAAAAGGGAGAATCGGTGTCCTTGAAGGATGTGGCTCCTGGTAGATCGGGCCACACTGCAGAGGATGGCTCCATATCCAAGAATATATTGACAACACAAATTAAAAAGAGGACACTAAAATGGGGGGGGTGGAGATGTCAGTGTGAATGTGGAAAGAGTTAAGGGAGAAATTGGGGCAAATATAATCAAAATGTGTTATATAAAATTCTTAATGAATTAACTGAATTGGTTTTTAAAAGAAGAAAAACAAATCGCTCCTAAGGGGGTCCAAAAGGAATGAGAAGGAAAATGTTTAGGCTATATATGCTCTGAATACACTATATACTTGTAAGAAATCACGGGGGAAAAAAAGAAAGAAAGAAAATATAGCTGCTATACATCAGAGGTGAAGCAGTGAGTATTGGAATAGTAAATTAGCAGGATATGACACAAAAATCAAAATCCAGTATTGTAAGCCGTTCTCTAGAAGTTCATGATAAATGTATAAGCCTTTCACAAAGCTCCAGCTACAAAATGAATTAGACTTTGTTTCACAGATTTTCTCTTATCCTTGGGCTGAGTCACATGTCTGCATAATAAGATGCAGTTGATGTCTTAGTGACTACTGGTTGTAATGAATCCAAGCTGGCTGGCCATGCTGTGAGTTGAGTTTTGTTGTGTGGCTTTGTGATAGCTGAGTTTCACTGACCTTATAGATGGGCATACATAAAGTTGTTTATTGATTTGATAGTGGAGCTTGAGGACAATGAATATCACTCTTCTAATTCCCGGTTTTGCAGGTGAGGTTTTAAATTACTCCACTCTTAGTACTGCTGGGCTATGTTGCTTGCAATTTAAAAAAAGAAAAATGCTACTCGGTTATATAGCCTGGCAAATGCATTTTCAGGTTAAGGAATATCAGTTAGCCTTTCTCAACTGGGTTTCTGTTGGAAAGTAGGCCCTTTGAGAAATGATTTGACAGCTTTTCTCTCAATTGCCCCAAGGCTGGTCAACAGAGAACACCATTCTACACGTTTCTGAGTGCTAGCCTTTTATATAAAAACAGGCCCTTTATGGCATATGAGTTCTGTTCTCTTGGAGAACCCAGTTCAGAAGGGCTGGATGCATTTGTGTGATTTAGTCACAGCGTTGACTCTTATTTATCCACTGACCCTCAACAAAGGCAGATGTGGCGTGGAGCAGGAAACGGGTTTATTGTTGCCCTGCTGTCTGAGGTGGGATCCAGTGCGTTTCACCTCACACCCCTGCCCAGCACAGTGGACAACAACTTTTCCTCTGTTAAACTCTGATGTTCCCTTCAGACAGCAATTGTTCTGTTTCGTCATGCTGTCTTTTGTGTGTTGTGGAATCCAGTGCAAATGCAATTATTTTAATTGTGCTCATGGCTGTTCTGCTCAGAGCTGAGCTCTCAAAGGCTGTCTTTGTTGATTGTGTTCTGTGACCTACTGCAAAGTGGCTACAGTTTATGCAGTGGCATTGATGAGGACACAAGCTTGAAATTAATTTTCAATTTCTTGTTTTTATTCTATATTACTTCCTTTTATAGATAACAGTCACAAGAGGGCCAAATGCAGAGTCTACATCCTTCCAGTTTTAGCACTGAGACACCTCAAAATTTGCCAAATTGGCTTCAGAATGACTGCTTGTACTCTGTCTTGGTCTTTAAAGTCTTTTTAGGTTACCTAAATCATTATGAAAATTCTCCCATTCCATTGCCTTGTGAGAACCTTCAAATGTACCCACAAGAGCCAAGAGAACCTAGACCCATTAAAATGCTATTTGTTCAAGTGCACTGCCAGTGTCAATAGCCCCTCAGTAGTTCTGTGGTGTCCACAACACATGCAGATTCCCAGGCCTGCTGTAGAATCCCCTCTAGTTCTCTCTCTCAGGCAGGAGCGATAGCTCCACAGTAGAGTATATAGCGCTCTTCCTGAGGATCCGAGTTTGGTCCCTTTATAAGCACTCACATTATACGCAACTCACAGCTCCCTATAACACTAGCTCTGGGAACATTCTGTGTCATCCCATGTACCCACATGAAGATACACATGCATACTTGTCGTTAAAAATAATAAAAATTACTCTTTAAAAAGAGAGAAAGATACCTCACTTCCAAAAAATAGGCTTTCCATTCCTAGGATTTTGTGTCTACTTTTTTCTGGCCACCAGGTGTGATGAAACTAGGTATCTTTGATTAGAAATGTTCCCCATTTTTGAGTTAAAACTAATCGTGTAAATTAATCCCTTTATGGTGACAACCTAAACCACAACTAAGATATAATTAAATAATAATTTCTAAGCTTTCACCTTTATACTGATAGTCATGGTTACATTAGTCAAGGCATTTTGAGTTGTATTACCGTCCCCATTCACACTAAAGGAAGCTAAAGAGTGAATTTACTATCTTGTGTACATTAAAACACACACACATGTGCACACACACACACACACACACATACACACACACATGCACACACACACACACACATACACACAATCTCAGCAAGGTCCAGAAAGGCACACAGTATGATGGAAGTTCTGTCTTTGGGCTCTACTTTCTGTTCTAATTTCCTTGTTAGCATAGGTCCCCTAAAAAGTTGCTGTGGTGAATATATGTGGGACCTCTCTTGGGTTGAGGCTTTCAGCCTCTGGTCTTTTTCAGCTACATCTGGGTTAGGTACCTGACTTTGAAAGGGAAAGTTGATTCCTCAAAGGTGAATCTGAGAGCGAGTAGAAAAATAAGCAAGGAAGATGTTGGATACACAAAATGCAGAAATTCCATTCACATCCAACTATAATAGCTCAAGTCATGGCATCATAGTAAGTATGTTCAGACTTATTTGATCCTTAAATGTCTCTCTAGTTACATTTTTATAACCCAGCCCCAAATAAATGATACTAGTAGCTAACACTGATGCAAATTTCTCCAAATTGCTTTCAATGCTCTGTGTATACATATATGTGTGTGCATTTGTGCATACATATGTATATATACTCATATATATTCATATACACATACATACATACATATTTGATTCCCTCAATTACTTAAAAAATAGGTTATTTTAATTTGTCCCATTTCAGAGATGTGGAACCCAAGCATATAAAGTAACTTGCTCAATGTAGCATGGCTATTAAAATGATATAAAATTTAATACCATCCTTTATTTAGACTCTTTTAACTTAATAGCTAGAGGTCTACAATTAATATAGAAAGATATTTACTGTTTAATTTAGGGTGAATCTTTCCTCACTAGTGTATTTAGCAAACATTCACTACCACATTATGACAGGTGTTGAACATTAAAAGATGAAAAGTTGGGCATTCATTTGAAGAGCACCTCGCGGTGGCATAACCTTACTCCAATTATTTGCAAACAAAGTTCTTATAAAGTTGATGACTCAGGTTATCTG